TTCTAAGAGTGCACAAATCATGGGGAGCTTCACTAGTGTCTTTAGAACACTTCGTTGCTCTCTTGCACTTCTCATGAGGTTCTATTGATCTTGGGGGAGTGACGATCCTATTTTGTGCTCGTTGTATCCAATTATAAAACTAAATTATGCACAAATCATGGGGAGCGTCTCTGGTTTCTCTAGAACACTCCTTTTCTCATATCATAATATCTTTTATTCATGTGGCTCGTAGGATCTTTGGTCTAGTTGGTTCAATTGGTATCTTTTGATAGCTTGCTTCAATTGGTATCTTTTGATTGCTTGATTGCTTGTTTCTCTTTTTGATATGTCTTTATGGCATATCATTCTTTTGCAATCTTTAGGCCTTAATATAGTTTTTCTTCCTCCAAGTATTTACCGTTGGATATGTGTATTGCATTCTGCTCTCTTGTGGAGAAATACACAATTTATGGAGAAACACAATTTGTATTGGCCTTCTAAGCTTTTCTCCCATTTTGGCAATCGATGCCAATGGGGGAGAAGTTTCAGAGAGTTTTGTCGAGAAGTTTAGAGAGTCATCTTTCCTTGCTTTGGTTGTGTTCCTAAGCGTTTGCACCTCATATGCATGCATTATTAGTTGTTGCATTGCATGGTGATGCATAATTCCTTGTATAAACTCTCTTGAAAGTGATTGTCATCAATTACCAAAATGGGGGAGATTGAAAGAACATGCGGTGCCCCCATGTTTGGTTTTGGTAATTGATGACAATCTCTATGGACTAATGGTTGCCTTGAGTTACATTTGAAGGTTTTGTCCATAGGCTTTTCTTGGAGTACATGTGTTGGTTTCAAGGAGAGTTTGTGTCGACCAAGGTGCTATTAAGGAATTATCCAAATATTGGTCATGTGAGTGTTGAGCTTATTGCAAGCATGTCTTGAAGAAGAAGAGTGTGTGATCATTCATGTGTACCTTCAAGACATCATCCAAATGAAGAGAGTTGGAAAGATTGAAGGTTGATCAAGACTAAGTCAAGAGTGAATCAAGTTGATCAACACACAAAGCGTACAATATGTACCGAGGGATCAAGTTATCCCATGGTATGATAAGCATTGTCTGTTACGCTTTGTGTACTAACCCATGGTATTCGTGATGGGGTTAGGTTGCGGTGTGCACGTTCAAGTGGAGCATCATGAAGATATCATACTTGAAGCTTGCCGTCCATTGTGGTGTCAATGGACTTGTGAAGATGTGCCAAAGAGCGGCTCACCCATAGTAGAGTATGGGGGGCAAACATCTAGTCTTCATCGAACCAACACAATCAAGAAAGGTGGTCCAACTTGAGGGAGTCAAGATCGTCATCATCTAGCTCAAGTGGACTATGTGCAAGGCAAAGGTTTGCCGTTGATAGGTTCTCTATTTTACCGGTCTCATGGTGGTAGTTTGAAGACCGGGTTATATGATCGATTGACGTACTATCAAGGGGGGCTCTCAAGTGAGTAGTTTGATCGTATCGTTCGTAGAGAGCTCAAACCATTTCATGCTTGCATCGTATCTCTTGGTTCTTGTTTGGTTTTCTCCTTGTGAGATTTGGAGCTTACAGTCATCTTCTTGACAAGCTCGAGTTCATCGAAAACCGAGTTCACATGCTTCTTCTATTGCATTTTCGGTGTTGGAGGTTTTACCAGTCTTATTCGAGGAAGGGTTCTCACCTTTTTCTTATGGGCCTTTTGTTATTTCCTTCTTATTGTTATTTATTTCAAGTTTTTGTTAGCCCTTGTCGCTAGCTTTCCAACAAACTTGGTTTCGTTCAATTCGGAGTCCGTTTGCAGAAGTTGTGTCAGTTTTGGTGTCCTTAAAAAGGCTGCAGCGGTACTACCGCTCATGGGAGCGGTACTACCGCTCGGAGGGGATGCATTTTTTTACTACCGCTCTTGGGAGCGGTACTACCGCGGCTACTTCCGTGGCTACTTCCGCTCTGGACCAAAAAAATCGTCATAAGTCCAGCGATGGTAGGCACGAATGTATTTTTTATTACCGCTCGCAAGCAGTAGTATTGCTACCCTTTGAGGTAGTACCGCTACCCCTAGCGGTAGTACCGTGAGGTTGAGCGGTAGTACCGCTCTATGCGTGTTGTGAGCATAACGGTTGGATTTTTACCCTCCTATAAAAGGGGGTCTTCTTCCTCAATGAACCTTATCCCTTGAGTTCGTGTTCTTCCCCCATTATTGACCGTCTTCGAGCTTGCTATCTCTCAATCCCTCCATGGATTCTTGCTAGTTTTGGGGGGAAAAGAGAAAGAAGATCTAGATCCACATTTCCACCAATCACTTTCTCCTCTATGTGAGGGGAACCCCTTGGATCTAGATCTTGGAGTTCTTGGTGTTCTCATTCTTGTTCTTTCTCTCATTTTCCTCCCTAGCATTAGTTGCTTTGGTGGGATTTGGGAGAGAAGGACTTGGGCACTCTGTGTGCCCTTGCCATTGCATTTGGTGCATCGGTTTGAGTTATCCACGGTGATACGTGGAAGTTACAAGTTGAGAAGCTTATTACTCTTGGGTGCTTGGTACCCTTGAGCTTGTTCCTCTTGGGTGCTTGGGCGGCCTAGATGGTTGGTGGTGTTCGGAGCTCAATCACTGTGGTGTAAAGCTCCGGGCAAGCGTCGGGGTCTCCAATTAGGTTGTGGAGACCGCCCCGAGCAACTTGACGGGTACCGGTGACCACCCCCAAGGGTTGACAAAGTGTATGGGTTCGGTGACCGCCCCAAGTGTTGCCATTTATACGGGTTTGGTGGCCGGCCTCAAGGGTCCCTTAGTGGAATCATGGCATCTTGCATTGTGCGAGGGCGTGAGGAGATTGCGGTGGCCCTAGTGGCTTCTTGGGGAGCATTGTGCCTCCACACCGCTCCAAACGGAGATTAGCATCCGCAAGGGTGTGAACTTCGGTATACATCGTCGTCTCCGCGTGCCTCGGTTATCTCTTACCCGAGCCCTTTACTTATGCACTTTACTTTGTGATAGCCATATTGTTTCTTGTCATATATCTTGCTATCGCATAGTTGTTTATCTTGCTTAGTATAAGTTGTTGGTGCACATAGGTGAGCCTAGTTATTGTAGGTTTTGTGCTTGACAAATTAACCGCTAGGTTTATTCCGCATTTGTTCAAGCCTAAACCGTAATTATTTTAAATCGCCTATTCACCCCTCCCCCCTAGGCGACATCCACGATCTTTCACACACTTTTTCCCCAACATAATGATCGAAATTGGAGACAGATTGGTCAATTAGATGATTCTAGTTCATAGGGCTTGTATAGTGCTTCTTGTTTGACTTGTAGGGCCAACATCATAGATTTTGTTTCTCTATGAAATGCTTTGGCATGCAAAAAAAACTTAAGAGGGAATTTTGCAAGCAATTTAGAAAGAACAAACTTAGCATCATTGAGCCTAACTTCACAATAATTTCCTTTCTATGAAACCCTAAAATATAAACAATATAACTTCACTGAGACAAAGGGGAAGGAAGACTTCGGCACCCTCAATAATTCAGTCAAAATTTTAATCTATACCTACTAGTGAGTTCCACGTGCTTTTCACGTGAGTTGTGAGATATTGTTATAACACAATGTTGACAAACAACTGACACGTACATATTACGTGCATGAAGTTCAAGATACAAATTTGTTACTAATGATACCTAGATCTATTGAAAAGGGAAAACCTTAGCTGCATAGTGCTCCAATACGTATATATAACACATTATGGCATCAATGGTTAAATTTCATGAATATGCAAAGATAGTGTTGCAACATTTGATTGAAATTCTTTGACAAGATATATGGCATGTGAGAAATGGTTGATCAAACTCTTTAATCTTGAGTAAAAATTCACAAGTAATCTCATAAATGGATACACTTTTATTCAAGAGAAACTCTAATGAAGCACGAGCATGCATGGAAGATCTACACTAAATCATAAATGGACACGCCTTTATTCAAGCAAGAAAATCTATTGGAGCAAGATCATGATTCTAGGATAAGTTTTTAATTATCAGAAACTTCTAAATAGTACACATGGCAAAATCCGATGCAATTGATAGGAAATCAAATGGTCAGTAACGCTTGGATTCGCCATGTCTTGACCATCAGATTGCCCTGATGTTTCTGAAAATTAAACTGCAATCCAATTTTGGTTTTGCAGGAAACCTCCTAATATTTCTCATAATCAACCCGAAAACCAGTTTTAAGTCAGATTTTTCACTTTAGCAGGAAACCACTAATAATTGGGTTAATAAACCCACAATACATATCAAATGCTTTTTAAAATATCCATATCTTTTAAACCTAGCTTCAAATTCAATATGTTATATATGAATTTTGATTAGGAAAATATGTAGAATCTAAATATGATGTTATTTTATTTGTTAATTATTTTTTAAAATGTTACTTATGATGCAACCTTAATGAACAACACGTGGTTCTTCTTCTTTCATACCGATCTGGATTAAAAATGAACACCTCAGTAAAATCAGGATTGGAGACGAAACAAACCATCGGCGAGCGTGTGAAGGGGGATAATTGACAACATAGATGGGATGCCATGTGTTGAAAGAAAGGATGTGTACCTATTAGGGTCTTGAGTCATGATTATGGGTTAGAAGAGTATGATGTTTTTTTTCTCCTGCATCACATACACTCTTTTTGCTTGTTTCTATAGGGGTTCTATGGGTTTGTGCTACTTAAATATGACCTTGGCCTTTCTGCAAAAAAAAAAACTCTACAATAAACCATGGCATCCAATTCTTCTCATTTTCCCAACCCTAGGTCTAGATGGAAATCAAACAGGCCCTAACTACCAAACAATCTACCAGTTGTTCTACATGGTTTTGCTGATTCTACATTGTGCTACCAGCAATGCAATTCTTGTCACGTCAAGATACAAAGACGTCATAATGCGAGCTAGAGTGGTACACGATTTAGATCCTAGTGGCTTCCGCTACGATCACGCGAGGTGGATTTAGATCCTACTAGTGGTTTCCGCTACGATCACGCGAGCCCCCGTCGGGCCTCGCCGCCGCCGCCGCCCGCACGGACAGCGACAGCACATTCAGATCCGACCGCTCCGTCCTCATAGCCTTCCCTTGTTCTCGCCGGGCGGCGTGCCTCTCGTCGTCCTCGTCGTGTTCTTGCTCCTCCTCGTCGTCTTCGCCGTCCTCCTCTGCCCCATTTCCCTCATCCCCTCCCCCGTGCCCGTCCTCGCGCGACCTCTTGCTCCCTATCGCGACGCCGAACAGCATCGGCTTCGCGCCTGCGGCGCCGTGCCTCTCGTCCTCCTCCCCCACTTCCTCCCCGCCGTGGTCATACCGCCAGACGAGGTGCCGCACGCCGTCGCAGACGCGGCGCGCGCGCGCGAGCTCCCGCGCCAGCCTCGCGTTCTCGCGCCGCAGCCGCGCGTTCTCCTCCTCCAGCTCGGCCATCGCGCCGGTGGCCACCAGCGCCAGCCCGGGCGGCGGCGACGAGGAGACCGCGGCGTCCCCGCCGGAGCTGGTCGGCGTGGGCGAGATCGGAATCGCCGTCGCAATCGGCGTCGCCATCATGGCGGGCGCCGGCGCCCCGGCGCCAGATCCCTTCCGCCTCTGTATCGCGCCGAGCAGGCGCTTCTCCCCTTTCCTGAAGCACTCGTTGGCGAACTCCCACCTGTCAAGGCCTATCTTCCTGAATCCCTGCACAACAAACGCGGCAGCACCCTTGGTAATCTGGATCTACCGAACCAGCCGGAGAGAGGTGGGCGGGCGGAGACGGAACGCACGTAGGTGTTGAGCTGGCGGACGAAGGAGGCGAAGTTGCTGTGCTTGAAGTTCTTGGGGAGGAGGTCGCGCTCGAACTCGGCGCGGCGCCACACCACGAACGCCGTGCCGGACTCGTTCCAGGAGATGGTGTCGTCGGTCTCCGGGTCGTCCACCATCGCGTACGTCTTGGTGAGGAACGGCGGCGTCCCCGCCCCCAGCGCCGGCGACGCCATTGATGAGTTGGTTGAGGGCGACGGTGCTGGTGGTGCTCTGGCGAGAGGAGACGGGGAGATTTGGTTTGGTTGCGCAGGAAAGGAAGGAATGGTCTAGAAATGGGGATTTTGTGATGGGGGTAGGCTGGGGATGGGGCGAGAAGCATCCAGCGGGTTCTGGAAGGTTCCGATCCTTTCTAGTCGGCCACGTGGCGAGGTTTCTAGAAACGGCGCTGCTGGATCGGGGATTCAAGACGGGCTGAGCTGTAGCTTTGCGGAGGACGGTTTGGGTAGCCAATATTTTGACTATTGTTTGAGGTTTTTTCTTTACGATGTTGTTTGAGTTTTAAGCAAGCCTACAAAGAAAATAATAAATGAAATTGTTTATATGACGCTCTCTCCGTTCACTATTATAAAATTAAAACGAGTAAACAGGCACACTAAAATGTGTATAAAACTGATTGAAAATAAGTAAAACATTTTATAATACTAAACAAAGGGAGTAAGTCTGAAAACTCTTTTAACCGACTGTAAGATAATGGTCGACTCTAATTTTTTTTTAGAAGAAAAGGGCAGTCCCGCCCCAGTTCCATTTTCATAGAAAATGAAACTCACAGAGTACATCATTATTATAGATCGTGGGAGGAGATTGAGTATCTCTCCGGCAACAACTTTTTGCAGAGCAAAACAGAAACAAAGAACCTAGGCAATAAAGTATTAGTCTGGACAAACACGCTAAAACATGGACCGGCTACTGACATTAAGATGAGACATGAGGCCATATCAACTCTTCAAGAAACACGCTCTCCTCCATGCCCATCAAGCCACCCATCTTTTGCAGGGAGTACAGCCGCCAGAGCTCGTTCTTCTTCAACCTGGCTCTGGCCAGAGTAGCAGCGGTGGTTTTCTTGCCGCCTCCCATATAGCCGCACTAAACATCTCCATGCGTTCTATTGCATTTCCTTTGCACAGGATCTTCCAGGAGTTGCAGTACCCTGCAATTCTCCCCAGCACCACCTGCACACCCATCCAATGTGTGTTATTAAAACACATGTCATTTCTGCATCTCCAAATAGCCCAGAGGACAGCTAAAATGACAATATTCTCAGCTTGTAGTTTATTATCTTGCCCCCACATTTCTGCTACCTTACTCAGAATAGGCAAGGGAAGCAGTTTATAATGGAGTGAATAATTCTCCAGATTTCCAGAGCTACAACACATTCAAAGAACAAATGGTTGATATTTTCACCTTCAGAGCAGAACAAGCAAGATAAGTCATCTGAATGTTGTCTCTTACTAAGATTATCCCTCACTAACATCTTATTGTGAGCTACCAACCACAAAAAAATATGGATGTTAGGAGGGACATGAATTTTCCACATATCAGGAATATGGACTTGGCTAATGCCCCTAAAATTGACCATGGCATACATAGATCTAACTGAATAGACATCATTGGACTCTAGTTTCCAGATTAAAGCATCATCATCATCACTAAAAACAGTGGTTTGCATAATGCTTAATAAGTCATACCAAAGAAGAAGCAATCTGTTGTCTACACATCTCCTAAATGTGATTTTCAGGTTAACTCCATCCCAAAGATCAGCCACAGTCTGATTATGCTCATTAGCAATTACATATAAATCCCAAAACTGGATGGCCAGGCTACAAGACTGTAGCGACCAGACCTCAAACAGTCTGATCTCTGTGCTCCGGTGTCATCCCTGGATCAATAATGCTGACACCACACAGTACTCGGAGGATTTATAGCAGAGTAGCAATTACACACTTATTACATCGAGTGTCTCCATAGAAAACTTATTACAATAAATATGGCTTAAGGCCATCTAATAACGATAACAGTGGAAGGCTTGAAAGATAAGTGAGTCCATCAACTCCAACGGCATCACTGAGTATAGAACCACGACCTAAAACTCCTTAATCGTTGTCTGAAAAGTCTGCAACATTAACATTGCAGCCCGAAAACGGGTCAACACATGGAATATGCTGCCAAGGTAACACATAGAGAGTAATGGAATGAAACAGCTATACTATATGCATATTTGGCTGGTGGAAAGCTCTATGGTTACAGTTTTGCGTAAAGCCATTTTTTCCCTACTTCAAAAGAATAAAATTTATTTAACTATCATGGTAGTTGTTAAACATTGAGAATGGTTGACAGCATTCTCAATCCCAATTAAGTATCATCATTAAAACCCAACAATATTAATTTAGAGTAACATGATGAGATTCACATGATAATCCAAGTACTAGATACTCAAGATGTCCATAACCGGGGACACGGCTAATCATGATTAGTTTATCACACTCTGCAGAGGTTTGCGCACTTTTCCCCACAAGACTCGATCGCCTCCGTTTGGTTTCTGGCACTACAGGGTGTTTGAGAAGACAGATGATCGAGACATAGTCTTTCAGAAGCGCTAGCACCTTACGATCGGGTAGACCATACCACCTAAATCCCCTACATCTGCTAGTCTACCACTGTAAGAGTTCGCACAACTTAGTCAACTATGCTAGAGCCCATAATAGCTTGTGGCTGCACACGGAAGTTTCTAGTATGAATAGTCTTATGATCCCTTTGAGCCTGGGTGGCGGTCCAAAAGAAAACAGGCAAGTCCTGGAATACCCAGGTGCCTCAATCCACCCAGATGTGTGTTTAAGTTGCCACCTTAGATAAACCATTAATTAACAATCTCACATCTGTCATGGATTTCACTCACCCAATCCACGTCTACTAGCATAGCATGGCATAATAAGCAAACGTAGAAGTAACTCCCAAAGGTTTGAAAATAAACAGGTAATAGGTACTATCTCATCTACTTCCCATCCCACAATTTAATTAGATCATAATCATGCAATGTGTGAGGATTAATCTAATGCAATAAAACTGGGTAGTAGAAAAGGTATGATCAAAGTGTTACTTGCCTTGCTGATGATCCGGGAAACCTAGCGATTCGAAGTAACAGGCGGCGCACTCCGGATACTCTATTGCAAACAAACAAACGAGCATACAATAAGTACTCATCTAATGCACAGGTAAAACTCAAATAAGAGATCTAACCAGAAGGTTCACCTTAAGAACTCCGGTTGGCAAAAGAATCAAATCGAACGAAGCAACGAAAGTCAAACGGCGAAAGAAAACAACTTCGTTCTAGTAATCTGGATCTAGGGCAAATTTTACAGTAGCAAAATCTTGTTTAAGTTGGTTAAACGGATAGAGGGTTTCGAGATGAAACTCTAGGCGCTTGAATCACCTGATTCCGATAAACGAGCGAAAAGTTAAACTAAAATGAAAATCGGATCAGGAATCGCGATCAGATAAATCGCGGATTTAATCTGAGAAAAAGAAAACTGACGAACAGTTAATCGAACGGACGTTCGTTAACAGAAACTAACCGGTGAACACGTTCGCTAAAATGAACGGATCAGTGAACGTTCACTAATTAAATAAACCAGAGAAAGAAAAAAACAAACCGATCTAGGGTTTCAAAAAAAACCAAGGCGGTTTTTAAAAAAAACGGCGAACAGCGGCGGCTATACCTCCGGCAAGGCACTGCGGCGGGCGGGGCGGAGCTCCGGCGGGTCGGCGGGGG